AAAAAAAAAAAAAAAAACATTCCTACGTAATAAATTGAAAAGGCCTAAGGAATTAATCACATGTTTTGAGCCGGGATTTGCTCCTGATTTGTTGTAACATTATCTAATTTCAACTTGTTATGGCTTGATTAATTATATTTCTTGTAGCAGAAGTCTTTAGGGGGATCAAATTGATTCTCGGTGCATAGTTTAGTTATGACTTTCAAACCTTGGAGCACATGCTAGGATTGTTCAAACTGTTAACTTATGAGGAACAGCTGGTTGCTTTATAAAAAAGAACATTACATAAGGAAATGTCTGGTCATTATGTTATGCTTAATGTGAAATATCTATAGGTTAGGCAGAATATGTTTTTTAGAAGTGGCCTTGTGTAAAGGTAGGAACGGTTCGTAGAGTTGGGATTAAGATGAACCAACCTAGGTCTAATAGTATTAATAGTAATGAACATGAAGCATTCTATCCTTTTGGATTCAAATCCTCTCTAATTAGGTACTGGTAATTGGAGAATGTTCAATTATCCCAATTGTATTCTGTTATTCCAATTCCAACGGTAAAAAGTCATGTAAAATCTTCACTGTTACAATGCCGATTATCACAATAGTGGGTTTAAAGACAATGGTGTGGTTTTCAAGATAATATTTAGATTCCCACCTGGCTTAATCTTAGCCCTTAAAATTGGAATGAAGGGTAAAGATTAGGATAATTAGACACTCTTCAATTATCACCTAATTGAAGAGAATCCTAACCCCTGTCATTTTATGTTATTGAAGGTAAATATCATAAACGTTTATGGAAGATGATCTTAGCACACCATCAATTTCTAGTAAATTCACATGTGTCAACCTCTTCTAGCTAGGAAATGAAAAGAAATTTTTTATTAAAAATAATGGGAGCAACTATAAGACTGGTGAAGTATATCCTTCCTTTTACTTGTCAATTTTAGAACATCAAGGGGAAACAACATTAGTTTGGCTTTTGACTCATGTTATATGAATATTAGTTTGTTCTTTGTAAGTGTTCTCTAGTTTTTAATCCATCAGTACAAATTTTTTTGCATGTTATAATTACTTAGGTCGTGGGGGTCAGGATATAGGTTGCTTGTGTTATACCACTAGAATGTTACTTATCCAACACATATTATATTAGTATAACTTGCAAATATGGCATTGCTTATGAACAACCAAACTAGCACATACTTGTATTTTTCTAATTTTTAGCATGGTATGTTTGATTACGTTAACCAAGTCATTAATTTAGCTGTTGCTTGTGCATTGTGCAAATGGTTAATGCCTTTAAGAAAATTAAAGATTCACAGATTCGTAGTAGACCATTTTGATAGACCCATTAATACACTCTTTGGTCTTTATTGGGGGGCTACATGTTGTTTTCTTGTGAGCCAATTTCATTAATAAAAGGACATAGAAAAATGATAGTGGTCATCTAAGTGTTTTCCTTAATTGAAGAAGAAAATATTCCGATCGATGTTAATTAGTTTTCCTTGAGGAAGAGATAATTAATCAGCATATACGTATGAGCAAATATTTAAGCGTTGTTTTGGCTTATTGATCTTGATTTTGAAAATTCGGAAATTGTAAGAAATCTGAAAATTCCCAAAATTTTCCAATTAGTGAATATTTGTTTAATTTGGTTGAAAGAATAATAGAGTGGAAAGTTATTTTGTTCTTAAGCCTACATTTGTTCTTTATTGGGTGTTGCAACTACATTTTCGTGCTGCAACTGCATCTAACTAAACACTCAAAGTTCTAGTTGGAACAGCATAATGTCCTACTACATCAACCTAAACAAATGCATGATGTTGCAACTATATATATTCGTAGTTCCAACATCTAATCAAAATATGCGCTTAAGGAACCTGCTGTTAAGCACTTACGCCCAAGCATCTAATCAAAATATGTCTGAAAGAAATAACAAGAGTTAAAGGGAGAAACACATCTATTACTACTTTTAGATATTTATTTTTATCTTTTTACCAAAGCTACTGGGTTAGTTTAAACTTCATTTTGTTTTTTAAGCTCGCTTTCAAAGTCACTCTTTGACTCAAAATACAACAAAAAAATTATTTGTAAACTCGCTTTGTATTCAAACAATTTGACATATGGTTTAAGTTGCTATATTTCACTTTAACTTGTTATATTTCTTTTCAAAATGATTAGGAATGTGATGTATTAAACCAAATGCTTAAAGCATTATGTTTAGAACTTTTTTATTAGCGCCTGCAATAGCTCAACTTGTCATTTTAGCTTGGTTGACATGTCACATGATAATTACGTGGTGAAACTAACTTTAATTTGCAGTTTAATTAATTGGGAAAAAAATGATGATTTGTCATCTAAGCCGAGGGCAGAAGAGTGCCATTAATTGACCCAAACTCATATGTTAATTGAAGGTGCTAATAAATTAGTTTAGGGACTATAATTCATGACACTACTGTAGCACAACAAATGTATTTATTTATGATTAAACAATTTTGATTGGCCTAATACTGTTGTTGCTTGTGCTTCTTATGCTAATGCTTGTAATTACTACTACTAATAAGATAATGACTACCTTTATGAAAATAATAATAATAATAATGACACCAACAAACCTTAAAATGCTTGAATTATTGCCAAACTTGTGATTAGTTAGCCGGTTTGTGATGTTTAAGTTGATTGTGATCCTTGTGCCAGCACACTGTCGACGTATTTCATCATTATATTTAAGTCATGGAAAAATTTACAAAATAGACCTATTTTGCTAAATATTTAGCAAAACAAGCCGTTTTGCTAAATATTTAGCAAAACAGACCATTCGAAACATACGGGACTAGTAGTCCCGTATGATTTGATCCCCAATTAAATCATACGAGACTACTAGTCCCGTATGTTTCGAATGTCTGTTTTGCAAAATCGACCTCCTTTTGGTCTGTTGGCAAAAAAAATGTCTATTTTGCTAAATATTTAGCAAAACGGCCCGTTTTGCTAAATACTTAGTAAAATATGTCTATTTTGCAAATTTCTTCTTTATTTTTGAAAAATTCGACGCCCGTGAACGGCGTCTAACAAGTACACGCGCTGCATAATTAGGCCACGCCCTTTAAGGTCGATCGTCTGAATGATTGATCGCTTGTCTCCCCAAATTCTCAGCGCCAACCAACTCGCAACCAAATGTATATTTTCCTCCCACATTGATCTCATGTGATCCGAAACAAAGGCCACGTGCTCAGCATTTTTAACCCCACATGGGTATGTTTTATACGCAGTATGGAGTCATCTCTTTGCTATTTTTGCCGACGCTATACTGCGTGCATATCTCAACACTTACACAAGGATGTCACGGAAAATCATAACTAATCTCTGCGACACATTGATATCCTGTGACACCCAATGAAGCCTAATATCTCCCTTCAGGTATCCTCACATGACATAGAATGCGAAGGATTATCGTAACCGAATTGTCAGGAAAACGTATGACTTGTTAGATCTTTTCGGATTTTCCAATCGCGAGAGGTTATTCTGTAGGCATCCAATTCTAAATCATTGTGATAATATGTATTTTCCTCGTAAATTAGGCTCCAGAAGAGGGTTTTTCAAAGTATGAGAGCACTTCCGGCATAATGCAAAAAATGTGACTCGCAACCGAAAGGAGGCTCTAAACTTTCAAAATGTCGCGGAGAATGAATGCTCCAAACTTTCAAAATGTTGCGCTTTAGTTTCCTCTTCCTGGTGCCCTCTTGTTTACCTACTATTACGATACAAATACGCCCAGTTTGTAAATAACATCACTTTAATACCTTAAAACCACGGATGAAGGCCAGCATTATGGTAAAAAGGAGATTTAATACTATTGTCTGTAGATCAATTGTCAGTGTATCACCAATTAGATATTAGGAATCCATCCTTAAATTTTAACTATCAAGCTCCTTTTAATTTATTTTTTAAGTGGTGTAAATTTGACAAAAAAGTTGCACCTTATTTAAATCACCCTCGACCCAGCCCGCAGGCTAATATGCTCGAAGCTCATCAAAGATATATATATTATTTTTTTTTTTAGTAACGCTAGTGTATGAAATTTAATAAGTATCCTATGAGAATTTGTGATTTTTAATTATATTTTACAAAAGATGAACGTTATAAAGGAATTTGGATCCTTGTATATTTCTTTTGGAACTGAACAATAATATTCTTGAATTATTATTTTTTGATGAAAATATCTTCTTGATCGTTATAACTACAATTAACAATACATCCTCACCCTTCCCTGAATAAATTGAATTCATTAATCTTTTTACACTCTCCCCAAAAATTAACGGTTATGATTGGAGGATGATCGTCCAATTCTACAAAGAAAATATAAGAGAAATCCACTATGTATCAGGGAGAACTACAAGAAGAACCACTCAACTCTCTTCTCTCAATCTCTCAACCTCACATACATAATCAACTCACATATTCTCTCCAAAACTCACTCCTTACAATCTTTTTGAACGGATAAAGACTGCGAAACTCTCTCCCAATGTTGTAATCTTTTGCACGGATAAAGACCGCGAAACCCTCGCCTCTTGCACAATATTCTTGAATCAGGTCACGCCCTTTGCTTAACCCTATATTCCAAGAATATTGGCTATCTCCCTTCCCCTTGGTTTTTCCTCCAACAATAGAAGAATATATATAGGGAAATCAAAACTCTATTTCTAGCCTAACTTCCTAATTAGAATATGATTCAAACTCCTAATCATGATGAGACTCAATCTCCTAATAATTATAGATCTCTAACCCTATCTAATTCTCATGAAGTTATACAAAGAATCAAAAACACATATTATAGTTACTATGTAAATATTATAGAGTTATTATCAACATGCTTATTATATTATACTATACTATACTATATTATAGTTAATTTAATATTACTGAGACTTAAATACTCCAAAAGAAAATCACTGTCAAATACCAATCCTGAAGGCTTAAACGGAACATATCTTTCACCTTGGATACAAATGAATAAGAAAATTCACACGCCATTAAGATTCTATTCAAATTATTCCAGTGTACAATGTTTATTGGCTCCAGCAGTAATCGTCTCAACTGATATTACAGATTAGTGTTCATAGAAACATCAAATGGGGGGGAATACAGGGAAAAAAAGAAGAAAGAAAAATACAACACTTTGGATTCAAGTTTGAGACTGTAATTCTTTCGTTCTTTTTTGGTGGGGCCAAGAATCACTTTTTATACAACAAAATCTTCAGAAGCTGATATCTGAAGTCACAATCCATTATCAAGAAGTTGATTCTCATGAGACTACTGATGAGGGTGTGAACTTCCTAAGGATTTTCAGGAAACACGGTTTGGATAAAATCCAAGAAGCGTTTGGAGTAAAACTCCGGATCCACTACTGAGATGGAGAGAGAATCAAACTGAATAGATTTGTATGCATGCTCTATTTTCTTGTTCATGTCATACGCCTGCAATATATCAATGATCCCAAGGTAGAGCACGACATCATAAACTTCATGGAAAGCCTGGGTTTCATCCTGGGCTGGAATGAGCTCTGCCCTTGCTGGCATATTAACTCCAAGTTGGATCTGAAGTCTGGTTAAATAAACATATGTTAGAGTTACATAACTAGAAAAAATGCTCATCAACGTAATTTGATTAAAGCCAAGCTTAGGGAGGAAAACTTCATAATATTTCAAATAACGTACGTAGAAGAATTGAAGACGCCATTTTTCAATAGCTTTATTTTCATTACTTATAAAGGTAAGATGAATAAGTCATTAATTGTAGGACAACATGATCAACTCATCCTTCTAAGTATCGGTGAACTATCAACTTAAGTATCAATTTACCTATTTTCCCACTTAAACTATGTTTATGAGACCAATATGGTCATTTCGTGAGCTTGCAATCAACTATTTAACAGATCAATGACGTGACACTGTTTTTTTGCATTTGGTGACGGGTATTTTCACATTGTCGTCGCATTTTTCTAACCCGCCCCCCCCCTACCGCACCCCCACGAACAAAAAAAGTTAATCGCAACTACTTTCGCGCAATTTTTTTTGCCCTTCATGCCTTCTATAGAATTGAAAAATCAGTTTTTGAATTGCAGATTATACAAAAAAGAATGCAAAAAAACCATTGTCATGTTATCGATCCATTAAATATTTGATTGCCGGCTAAGAATATGACTATATTGGGCACATACACATAGTTCAAGCAGGTAAATAGGCAAATTGATACTTTAGGAGGAAATTGAGAGCTCACCAACGCTTTAAGGGGAATTTGATCAGTTTGTTCTTGATCGTGAACCAAAGCAACTTAACCAATATTTCTTGATGAACATTTTCCCACTTGTGCTACATTTGTAGTTTTTTTAAAGAAAAAAAATTACACTAGCGTATCATGTTAAAATAATAAAAATCCATGTTTCGAAAAAATCTAATGAATAAGTATTTAGCATACAAATGGTTTACACATCCACTTATAGAAAGAATGCAGAAAACTCACCTAGCTGTACCAGGAAGTAGGAGATCTACTTCCTCATCACCAGCAGCTGATGCTCTGAGGCGGCTACCACGTATATGAGGACCCACAACAAAACTGTTTTCACTGCTTCCATGAGGAACCAGAACAAGGCCTTGCGGGTAGTTAAATATCTCATCCTCTTGAGCATCTACAAGTGGACAATCATAGAATCAATGGACAACTTCCAAGTTGAACTCTATTAATTTCTCCTTACATTGTTAATCAAAGGAAGATGGTGAATTAAATTTTCTACAACATTGCAGCTATACTTCGAAATTTTCCATTTATCGACCTATTTGAATATTTATGTGAAGAGCGAGCAGTAACAGTACTCAGAGAACTACATGAAATGAATTATGTGTAAGAACAAAAAAATTCTGTGCATAGTGGCTTAGTTCAATGGTGATTCAGTTATGTTGACTCCTAGCTCGAGGACGGACATGTCCGAGAAATAAGCAAAAGACAAGGTAAATATATAAATTTTCTAAAAAATATAAGGCCATAAGTTCTAACGTTTCTGGAAGTAATAGTGGAGCACACAAGACAGACTTCCCAGGAGGTTATTCATCATACTCTCTTGTATACAAGAGGCTCTATCCTAGTTCTTCTGTGACAGATGCTAACTGCAATTGCAATTTTTTTGTTAAGCCATGCATACTCAGAACTATATGCCATATGGCACTTAGTTGTTCTGTACGCTCTGATGGCTTTGGATATTTGGATCTGGTACCATCTGTGACCATCATTCCTAAAGGTCACCCTCTCTGTGTAGTGTGTAGCCAAACATGCCTGTGCCCATGGATCAATTTGATTGTAAACTCATTAAACTATATCACAAGAGAAGCCATCCTAGCACAGAACTGATGTGCAACTGTTCATTTTCAGGTCTTGACAATCATGAGCCAGATAACAAGATATGCCAGAGGTACGGATTTTTTGAAGCTAGACAGCAGAGATAACTCATAAATTGCAACGCCTTATACCAAGATAAATATAAAAACATCAGTATTCCTGAAATAGCACTCATCAAATGGGTTTGTATCCAAAAAACAAAACGCCTTGTACATAAAGGCAATGCATGCAGGCAATTCAGCGTGATGCCTATTTTCAATACTACAAACAGCTTGAACTTGAGAGGAGAAGTAATTCTTAGACATAAGATGATGCAAGAGCTTATTAGAAGGATGCATTAGTCACCTTCCTCTGAAACGATAGTCAGTCCATCTCCTGTCAAACTTCGACGAAATGATACACCAGTTTGCAGATGTTCGGGAGCCCGATAATGCACACCCAACAAGAGGCTGTAGTCCATTATACACTGTGATTCCAAGAATTTACTATCAATCTCAATCTGCCTGCAAGAGATATTGAAATAGTCACTAGCTGAAGCATTAGAAACTACAATTGAAAAGAAAAGCCATTAATTTTAGTTACAGGTGAACAAGTAGTACAATTAATAATGCGCACGTAAAGTATCTTAACTATGGACGAACAATCTGATACAGTCATCGGAGTATATTTAATAAATATTCTTGGTTAAACTCTATGTACTAAGTTAAAGTGAATCAGTCTTAGCTAAAGAACAGTGCAACTACTTTTTGGCCAACATGACACATAAATCAGGAACATTTGATGATAGCATGAATGAGAAAGCATAAAAAGTTTCTTGAGCATCATCTTACTTCAGTAGAGCATCTCTCCAAGAAGGTTCCAAATAGAAAGAATAGTTTAGATCCAAATCTTTAAGGGTTGTATTCTCATCAATTTCGATGTTCTTGGAAGAACGACCAAGTGATGATCCTTTCAAGTCAAATCTTCTATGAATTCTTAGTTCTGTACAAAACATGTTTCCCATGACAACGAACCGGAACTGCAAATGAGAAATAACACATAAAGATGACTATCATTAAGAAAGCCAATATAAATGTTAACCAAATGCGTGGAAACAAATTACGAATCAATGATTCACAGGAAATACTGAATTATGACTATCCTGAAGGGGAAAAAACTCCAGGTATTACCTTTTGTCCGCTAGAGGGTATAACCCTGTGCAGACCAAAAAACTTAGTTATCAGTGTATTGTCATACGTGCGCACATGATGGTAGTAGATAGGAAGCATCCGCAACAAAACCTACACATTTAAATACTGTTACACTCTGCTTATTTCTGATTGCACAAATTGAAATTTTGATTCCATGAACATGTTTTGGCCCTATACAATATAGAGAGATAGTGAGCATATAAAACATAAAAGGTGAAAAAAGATTGACTAAAAGTCTACAACAAAACACAACTTGTAAAACAACGTGAAGTATACTGATACAAGAGTAATCCAGTATCATGAAAATCAAAGATATTAAGTTCCTTGCTAATGGGGCAGAATAGAGGCAAAAAATTTACTGTCTTCTTATTAAGAAACACCGCCTGATCAAACAATACTTTTTAGTTTTTGATATGACAACCTTTGGTCCTTCAGATTATACTATGCTTTCAACATGTATGCAATTTCATGCATATGATCATTTTCCACCATTTTGATTAATCCTTGAGGTAAGAACGAATATAGGAGTGATTCAAGGCATTCATTGAGTTTCTTCTGATGTCAACCATCTCCGACCACCTAAAGCTAACTGCCCAACAATATAGAATTTTTTTTCAAACAGATGGGAAAAGGACGAGTTAAGGAGATGGAGGTGAAAAATGTTTTTACTCTTCATGCTGACCACATAAAACCTGAAATAAGAGATAACAATGGAGGAACATCGGAGACAGAAAATAACAAAAGAAAATTCCAGCATAGACTACAGTCAGTTGCACAATGTATATGTATTTCTTGGTATGGTATGTGGGGGTACTGAATGAGGAGGGTATTCATATGTGTACATCCAAAGTCACATTTGTAATTGGGACATCAAAAGTCTTTAGGTTGAAGTTGGAGCACTCTGTGTTCTTGGATATTAACTGACACGATAAAATTTGACCAAGGAGGTGCACATAGTCAAGAAACCTATCAGTATTGAAGGGTTTAAACCTGACTGTCCTCTAGAAGTTTGTGGATGGAATAGCACGATCATGCTAACACAAAATAACTCATCGCATCATATACTGCAGGAAAATTTTGACAGAACAATGAATTTTTATATGATTATGGCAGTACTTGAACAAGGTCATTGTGAAGGAAACCGCAAGATCACAGTGAGGTGCAGAATAGAAAAAGTAACAAAATACATCAAATGATCCCAGCATCTTTATGTAGGTTGAAGCTCCTTTATCAATTTTTGGTAGTGCAATATCTAGATAAATACTAATATTTGGAGTATAGCACCATAGTAACAAACTGGTATGGGAATTAGGTTATGTTCGGAGTTGGCAGGGGAATATCTAGCAAATAGTTGTAGTATAATGCATGGTAACAAACTGGCTTATGGAAAATTAGATTTAAATTTTAATATTATAGAGAGAGATGCCTCTGTCATAAGTGATATGTAAGTTTCTACTTTCCAATTTACTAACTCTTCCATACATAAAGATATCAAATTTTGAAAGCTAAAGCACCTTCACTTCGGATTTACGGAGGGTCTTAATCATGAAGCGATCATCTTGAGAAAGGAAAAACACACTGCCACTCTTCCCGGGGGAAGAGAGCTCTCTGAGTGCAGCACTACCACAAATGGACATCATGTAATCTGCAGCATCAATCTTGAACAACTCTCGTAAATTTCTGCATCCAGTTACGGTAGACAAGTCTAGTTAAGAATTTAACATTAAACTCATGTAGTTAAAACACAATAATAGGATTCTATCAAAATATTATAATAGAAGGATATCTCAAAGGAAGAACAATTTAAGAAACCAAGGTCAAGCAAAAATTACAAATGTCCTCACATAACAGCTAAAGCTAAAACCTTTTCAGTATAGACTTCTAGATAACATTTATATAGGTCAGGGTACTGATATGAAGCTTCAAAAACTAATATCAATACTGCAGTAAATATTTCTCCTAACTTTAAGGGCTAAATAATTACCACAGTAAATAACATAAAGTAGGAAATCCAGAATGAAGTTCTAGTGGGAAAGATAAATAGTAGTTCATCCTAACTCTTGTCAAATCCGTTCCTCTTCTGTTTAATGGCAAAAAATGATATTAGCTTGAAAAATGTTAGAAACTTAGAGACTCAGGTGCATATCGTAGAAATCACCCACAAACATATGAATAATTAACCGTCAAGTATTAACTGGTTGCTGCTTCTCCAAATATCAAAAACTTTTTACTGGATTGATTCCCAATTCTACTTGAAGAACAGAATATCTCTGCTATAACAAACGTGTGTTTCCCATGATGAGCCAAAAATTCCTTTATTTGTCTCTGCTATAACAAACGTGTGTTTCCCATGATGAGCCAAAAAATTCCTTTATTTGTCTCTGCTATAACAAACGCGTGGTGCAAAGGAAACCATTTAGTCTATTTTAATTCAACTATGTTTCATTTCCTTCTTGTTTATAAAAAGTACTCACACTTGAACAGACAGAAGTGTAGTATTCTGCCAAGCCTGTATTCAGATCAGAGAATATTTTTTGAACAGAAATACTCTCAGCATGACATAAGGTACCCTCTTTTTCTAATTACATAGTAGATTTATAAATTATAATTTATTTGTAGATTTATAAATTATAATTTATTTAACTTTTTATTGAGGAATTATGACATGACATAGCCCTGCCACTTGAGCAATGAGTTGTATAATACCACGTGACTTTGTTGTTTTTACAAGAACCTTTCTGAAGATGTGAATTCATGATTCTACAAACCTGAACACCATTGGGCAGTAGTCTTTCCACTTAAAATCTTCTGAACGGTGGGAAGGTGTTAGCTGTGAACCTCCTTTAGGAAAATCCATCCAAAAGCTTGCTCGAGGACCAAAATCAGATGCACGAACTTCTCGTCTCTGAATTGGGGTTATCTTACCTACTGTATACCTGGCATCAAATGCTCAGCATCAATAATCCACAGAAAAGATGAATGAAAACAGCAGATGCTAAATTAACTGGTAAACTAGCATCTATATAACATAACTGGATTATTTATCTTTACAAATCTGGAACTCCAAGGAGCTACTACCATAATAGCTACTTGAAATAAACATTTAGAATCTAAATAAAATGTAGAAGCAGCAATGCTACAAAGGAAGATCCAAATAAAGCAGAATTTTTAGTTGAAGGTGAAATTTAAGGAGGGAGGAAAATATAATCAGAATGGAGAACACAGGGAACTCAGCCCTCAATACAATCAGTCAATAATATCAGTATTCAATAATTGAAATATGAACAAGCATAGGAATTGTGTTTATAGCATAAAATCATAAGTCAACACTGGCAATTTCTAACTACGCTCAAATTCTAAGAAAGGTAGAAAATATGAAGTTAAAATCCTAAATAAAATAAAAATCCTAAATAAAAGATAAAGTCAAACCTGAAGTTCTATTCTGTTCAAATTCAAACTAATAATTAACTAATAGATAAAAATATAAAGAACCAATTTCCTAAATGTACAATACAAACTCCAAGATGATTTTGCAGGCTTCAAAAGATCTTCTATTACATCACTTAAATGTCAAAGTTTGGCCGTATAATTCAACAAATTAAGGCAAACATACAAATTGACCAGACTAAAGGCATCAACACTATGTTGAAATTTTTAGAGTCAGTGGTCCTGGAAGTTGTACTGGTCCTGTATATAAATAAAACTATAGGATTTGCAACCATTGTGGCAGATTAGCCGACCTTGCTATCTTTGATGGTCGTCATAGAAGGACCACCTTGGTTGGCAGGGTTCTGATGGGACGGTGCCCACGGAGAAGATGACAAGTGCTGATGAGGTTTGGGAATGGGCAAGTGTCAACTTGATGACTGATGAACAACATAATTTGATAAGGGATTGGTGCAGGCTGAAGATAGAGTTACATGAAAAGGTCCTCTATTTAAAGCCCTTGGTTGTGTATAAAATTAACTGAGTCAAAAAGGATTATAAATTGCAGAAGTCACCATTTTTATTTTTGTATTAATGTTAAATTCATTCTAGACTAACATATAAGGATTATTAAAAGAATTAACGGCTAAATTACTAAATTGGCATTTTTTGCAGGACCCAATTTTCCCTTTTTTCACTTGCGACACTATGGTATTAATATCAAAATTAATACCAATTTGGTTATTTTCTTATATAAAATAATATAAAATTGAGGTCATATGTTAGTATAAACACCATAACGTCGCAAGTGAAAGAAACAAATACCATATTGGAAATATGGTCCTACCAAAAATACCAATCTGGTAACTTAGCTGAAAATTAACTGATATTAGTCTGATGAGAAGCCCTAGAGTATTTTTATTGAAGAGCTTATATTTTTCTGTAAAAAGAAATGACCACTATTTGTTTAAACATAAACAGAAAAATCTGAAAACTCAAAAACACCTTTGAAAAAAGAAATATGGTAATAGCTTACTACATAACGATAAAATCTGTTCGATTACAGATTTTGGGATCAAAGAGGAACATAGGTTACCGTAGATATTTACATGTAAATGTTAAATTTATACTTGTATTGATGTTAAATATATTATTATCTAGTTAGAATCTCGTGAGAATAGACTCTAAAAGCTGCTTAAATTAAGATTTTTGCGATCTGTAAATTATTTTTGCTCCAAAGTATCCTCACAACTATTAGAAGGTTATGGCAGTTGGCTTGTGCTTTGCTATTTTTGATGCGTGATAGAAGCTTTTTTCATTACTTCTTTAAAATAATTTTGCTTCTGCAAAAAGTAGCATCACATGTTAATGGCCTAACAATAACCAGAACAGTATTATGTTGCATTGGGATTTTCGGACTACTTATTAAATTACTGAAAGGTAAAACTCTATGTGCTACTGATGAGCATTATTAAAGAAAATAATTATGCTCCTCCAGAAAATTATAAAATAAATTTGAACAATAATTAACTGCAACAATTTTACACAAACCAAGACAAGGATATAACCAATTAAACAAGCTGAGATGAAGAGTTTCATTAAGAAACATGTGGCACAAGATCAACAGCAACAATATAAAAGACAAATTAACTAATGAATTAACTGGAAGTAGTGAAATTTGTTAATTCAAATATTGAAAAATCAGAATATTACCTGATTCCAAGCTGCAAACTAAGCATTAGATCATAACTTCTGTGTCCCTTAATAATGGTCTCCCCTGGCTTTTTAATGTCCTTCGCCAGCTTCTTATGACGCCTTTTTTCTCTTCTAGATGATGAAAAGTTATTATTGACTACTAGCTCACTGATAAGAACACCTTGCACATATTCCCGTTCTAGTATGGGCACATTTGCAACAGTAACTTTTTCATCGCTAGCAGATTCTCCAGTAAACAATGATATGTCATGCCCAATAACTTTTTCAATAGCCACTTCAAGGCTCCAACGACGTTCCAAAGAAACATTCTTGTTCCGAGACTGTTCATAATTTATAAGGTTGACTTTAGGAAAATTTTCTGATGAGCCACTATTTGATCCTTGATTTTCATTAACCTTCATGTTTCCCATATCGACAGAAGAAGCATGAAGGATCCGTGATGCATGATTTTGTCTTTTTAAATCAGGTAATAGCCCTCTATTTCTTAAAGCATTAATATAAACCTCCTGTACAGCTGGAACCTTGCTTCCTTTAGGATAAAAGGATCCTTTACCATCCTTCAAGCCCCTGGTCCAGGTTCCAACATAGCACCCACCATCACTCCATGAATAGACTCCAAAGCCATGCATCATGCCATTCAAGAAGTTTCCTTCAAACACGTCTTCATTTTTCCAAGTAAGAGTTCCCTTCCCTGACATTTTTCCTCCTTTCATATTACCAACATAAACATTTTCGTTGGCCCATACATATTTACCTGGACCTTCTATCACTCCCTGAATCCAAGAACCTTCAAAGAAATCCCCGTTAGGATAAGTCTGATACCCCAATCCATGTTTAAGATTTAGTTTCCACCGTCCTTTGTACATCAAACGATCAGCTCCACTGTAGCAACCGGTACCATGCATATACCCTCCAGAAAATTCTCCTTCATAAACAGCTCCAGATGGCCATGAAATCTTTCCATTACCATGTCTCATCCCTCTTTTCCACTCACCTTCATATATGCAGCCATCTGACCACACATACTTGCCTTGTCCCTCTGGCATGTTCGCCAATAGTGTCCCAGAATACCAGTCGCCATTTGGAAGTAGAAGTTCGCCAACCCTAAGGCCAACTGTTTCACTAGATAAAGGAGAAGCTTGTCCATTGGCTGAATGAAATGAGAGCGCTTTTTCACTGATACAACTGACATCATGACATAACCTAGCTCTTCCTGAGCAAGATGCCCCTTTGTTATGATCATCGGTGACCACAGGGACTGACATGCATAATCCCCCAGAGGGGTCAGTCCCTTAGCAGAAGTAAGAGTTCAATTGTCCAGACTGAAAAAAGAGGGAAAAGAAGAAGAAATGAGAGAATATCCAAAAAAAACTTGCATGTAATTATGTTATTTCTGGTTATTTAACTTTTCAAATAATAGTAATAAGAAGATGAGAACAAGGACAAGAAGAAATATAAATTTATGAGATTTTACCTCCATGCAAGAAACATGAGATGATTACTTAAGAGAATTTAGACCAGGTTCTCAAAAATAAAACTATCAAGAAAGAAAATTGCATGGCTTTCTTTCCACTAAAGGAATTGGTGTTAGTGGAAATCCTGACAGAACATGCACAAGACTGGATGATATATCACCAGTCACTGAACTGAAGTAGTGAAAATATTTAACATATTATTTCAAATCCAAAGTCGAAAATATCAAGCATGTTGACTTCAAAATGCACTTTTGTTTCCTGAAGGATATTATATCAGGTAAAACTGGGAACACATGCCACCTAATTCCTCTCTATTTTTCTAACTTGTGATAAAGAATACTAGTGCTGATCATGAAGTCAATGTAAACTGGGACATTGCAGTAATATTCGTAATCTATTAGTACATTTGCGAAGTAATATAAGCAACATAATCCCCAAGAATTATGCATGCACAAGAGTCTAAAATATGAACTCACCACACCTTTTAATGTACGAAAAAGCAACTCCGATCATACCAATGCTTGTTATGATGTAAAACACACTACGGATATATTCATAGAGAAATTGGACCGTCAAAAGTCTAAACGGGGCCTCCGCAAAGGAAATAACTTATAATGAAGAACAAATCATATCTCTCAAACTGCATGTCCGAATTGGACGCATTATATATGAAAATCATGTAGTTTTTCAGAGATGGAGTCAACCAAACCCATCATTGCTTGGTTTGTTGCCATCTGTTTTGTGAAATTCCCTCTGAATTGAGAGATATCAGAGTTTTTATTAGCTTTTTATAATTTTGGGTAATGTTTCAAGAGTCCGGTTTGGTTAGAAAATAAATCGGGTTTAATTACAAATTTGATATATTTGTTTCCTCAATCGTAGGGAGTCTTTCAAGGATAGTTTTCTTATTTCTATTTTTGGTAAAATTTGAGTCCTAATAGGAGTCTAGTTTACTTTTGTATTTAAGCAGAGAATTGTAATACCTAGGGGCATACCTTTTCATATATATTCCTCTATTATATTCTCTTCATGTATTCGAAGTTCTTCGTGGATTTGAAGATCGTTCTTTGTGGATTCAAAGAATCTTTGATGGATTCCAAGGTTTATGACTTCCACTCTGTGTTAGTTGGAATCAGAGTCATGTTCTCCGATCCAATGGCAATCGATGAAGCCCATGTTATTTGAACTGAGTTTAATGAGTTTCGAACTGAGCTTGATGGGTTGAAGACTGAGTTTAACCAGATGAAGACCACTATAGACCCACTTGAGTCAGCAATAGAGTGTCTGAAGCCGGTACGAGTTCAAGATCGTGCTGATTGTCGCCGTTGATGTGATCCGACTCCGAAGGATGAATTCAATAGTGACATTGATGATTATGAAGCCCCGCACTGAGGATATGATTGCAGAGACCAACGACAATGGAACAAGTGATGCTGGAGGATTCAAGAGTTCACAAGTGGGAGAAGATGAAGAAGTTTTTGAAAGCATGTTTCCTACCTAGTGACTACGAATAAGTCTTGTTTGGTCAATACTAAAATTGCAAATAATGTGACAGAACTGTTGATGAGTACATGCAGGAGTATTACTGGTTGTCGTCCCGCAACAATTTGAACAACAATGATGCCCAACAAATGTCTCGTTATATGGAGGGATTGAGGATTGCAATTCAGGATCATGTGTCATTGCAATAGACGTGCACTTTGGCGGACAAGATTAGCCTATCTGAGAAGGTAGAGCAACTTGGTCAGAACAATAAAAAATCATGGGTAAATTCGAAGGGTTCTCAGAGAAATTATAATCGTACCGAGAACAAACAGTCTCAATCTGCTCCTGATCCAGATTTTGCAATTGAGAAGAATACAAGACCAACAACAACAATGGAAAAGGAGACTACACCAACAAATCCTTATGCTAAACCTGATCCAATTAAGTGCTACAGATGCGGTCAACCGGGTCATCGATCTAATCAATGTCCTAAAAGAAGTATTGTGAACATGACGGACCGTGATAAGGAGGATAAAGATCAAGACGATGTTGAATACTATGATGACAAGGATATTGAGTATCCTAATGATGGGTATCGTCTTTCATGCATAGTGCGGCGATAATTATTAGCTCCAAAGAAAGAAGAACCTCCGCAGAGGCATAATATTTTCCGCACAACGTGCAACATGATCCACAAGACTTGTGGTGTTATTATTGACAGTAACAGTAGTGAGAGTATTCTCTCTCGACATGTGGTTCAGAAGTTAAGACTTGAAGAGAGAGGAGCAACCCACCCCTTATAAGATTAGTTGGATTCACAAGGGCAATAGCATGCAAGTCGATAAGGTGTGTCGGGTGTCTTTTTTCATCGGTCATAACTATATTGATGAGGTGTTGTGCGATGTGGTCGAGATGGATGCTTGTCATATGCTTTTAGATAGGCCATGTCAAGTAGATGTTAATGCTACACAAAGGGGGGAAGACAATATCTATATTTTAAAAAAAGATGCACGTTAGGTTGTGCTTATGCCTCTTACAAAAAAGGGGTCAGCCAAGACAGCTGAGAAGAATACCTGTTTGGTTATTAATAATGAAGCTTTTACAAAAAATTTGAAATAATCAAAAGAGATCTATGTTCTTGTTGTATCAAGAAAAGAAGATTCTGCCCCTGCTCAAATTCCACATGAGATGCAGACCCTCTGGCACCAGTTTGATGCGATCATGCCTAAAAAATTCTGTCGAGTTAACGATGCTTCGAGACGTCCAACATCATATTCATTTCATCCCTAGTTCACGCTTGTCAAACCTGCCACATTATCGGATGAGTTCGAAAGAAGAAGAGATCTTACAAAAATAAGTGGAGGATCTCATCCAGAAAGAACTTGTATGAGTGAGCATGAATCCATGTGTTGTGCTGGCATTATTTGTCCCGAATAAGAATGGAGAATGGCACATGTGTGTGCGCAGTAAGACTATCAATAATATTATTGTGAAATATCGATTTCTCATCCCTCACTTGGAAGACATGATGGATATGTTGTCAAGATCAAAAATATTTTCGAAAATTAATATTCAGAGTGGATATCACTAGATTCGCATTAGAGAAAAGAGATGAATAGAAGACTGATTTCAAGATAAAAGAAGGCTTATCTAAGTGGTTAATCATGCATTTCAGCCTTTTCAACCCTCCTAGCACTTTCATGCGATTGATGTATCAAGTATTGAAACCATTCACTAGCAAATTTGTTGTAGTTTATTTCGATGATATCAATATTTATAGCCAGAACACGTCCGTGCATATGGACCACTTGAGGGAGGTACTAACAGCTTTGTGGGAGAACAAGTTGTACATCAATCTGAAGAAGTATAACTTCATGACTAGTAACCTATTATTCTTAGACTTTATAGTCAGTGCAGATGATATTCATGTTGATGAGAAGAATGTGCATGCTATCCGAGATTGGCCTAACCCGAAGGCTGTCAGGGAAGTTCGTAGCTTTCATGGTCTAACAACCTTCTACAACATAAAAAAGGACAAGTTTAATTGGGGAAAGATACAGATCGTAGCTTCACACACATCAAGGAGAAGTTGTCCTCATCCCCAATGCACGCACTTCTAGATTTTCAAAAAGTGTTCATTGTGATACATCCACTGTGGGTATTGGTAGTGTCCTGTCCCGGGAAGGGCATTAGGTTGTCTTCTACAATGAAAAACTCAGTTAAGCTCGACAAAAGTGGACCACGTATGAGCTAGAGTTACATGTCATAGTCTAGTTGTCATTTTGTTGGCCCAAAGACTGTGGCCCGTTTCCATAAAGGCCCAATTCCCTCATTTAAGCTGATGAGCCCTAGCCCCTCTCTACCTCTTTTTTCTTCGATGGTTTCTCACCTCCTCCCGATCTCTGTGATCTGATGGCCGCCGCTGTGAGTCCCATCCGTAGGTCGGCTCCTACCTCCCTAAACCCTAGCCTCCTCCCCCGTGTCGGCTGCCCCCTTCCCTATTTAAGGTGAAGGGCCGGTAGTAGCTCGGTGTGGGGAAATAGCGAGGGTGTTGAGATCTTGAGCTCTTTGTCTTACCCCCTTTGTGTGATCCTCTTCACGATCTGAGCTCTGTGCTCCTACGAAGGCTCTGTGCTTTCAACCCTTTGTGAGATCTTAGAGAGTGACAGTAGATTCCCCCTTTGTGTTCTTAGTGGTGCACAGTTGAAGAAGAAGGACTGATTGAGCAGGTTTCTGAGCCAAACGATAACGCAGATCCTCAACACTAGTCCTTAAAACATTGGAAGAACTACTTGATCTTGGAGGAGTTTTTGCGCAACACTTCAATAGTCAAACTTCCATTAATTGTATGCATGCTCGATGGATAGCATTTATGCAATGTTTCACCTTTATTTTGAAGCACAATTATGGGCGCAAAATAAGGTTACAGATACACTCGGTCAGAGATCAACTTTGTTGGCGACTTTACCAACAGAAGTGACTGGATTTAAATACCTAAAGAAACCTTATGCAGAAGACGAAGACTTCAAGAACGCTTGGAACAACTGTCTAAAGAATCAGTTAGCCAGAGGTTTTCATATTCAGGATGGTTATTTATTTCGTGGAGACCAGTTATGCACACCCCAGAGTTTATAAGAGAGCAAATCATACAAGACCTTCATGGTGATAGGTTAGGAGGACATCTGGAGAGCGACAATAGAATTACTTCCATTAAGGAGAAATACTACTGGCCTCAGTTGACGGAGACGAAAAATGTACGACGTTGTCCAGCTTGTCAAAGTTGCTAAGGGACAGTCCCAAAATACGGGATTGTACAAACTATTACCTGTTCTTAATATGTCATATTAAGTTAACTGGTGATA